CCCCGCATAAGACTTCCTTAAATTTATCTTCAGATACTCTACGAATTATTTCATTGGCTACTGAGCATCTAAAGATAAATTTATGGAAGCCTTAAGTATAAGGTCTGACTATGAATACGGGCAAAAATACTGCAACTGATGATTCCCAAAATTATTCCATTTTCCCTAGAAAACACAATGGGTGCATTTAGTACCACGACCGCTCACTGAGCGCTCAGTGAGTTCTTGCATCTGATTAGCATATTCCGTTAGAACTAAAAATATAGACCAAACAGATACAAGAGCTCTCTGAGCGCTCTGAGCGATTGTGGTACTGATTGCACCAAATAGAAATCTAGGGAATAATTGAATAATTCCGATCGGAATCCATTCCAACTTTGTTCATGATAGGCCTATTGACTTTAACCATGCCTACCATGCGCAGAGAGAGAGAGAGAGAGAGTGAAAGAAAGAGACATGTTTGACATTTTGCTTCTTGGTTATGTCTCGTTAGTCAATTAGCGATTAGTTTTAAAAAAGATGATATCTTCCTTTTTATTATTTATAAATATGCGTTTGAAACAATAATGCCGCGGAAAATACGCGTCATGTTTACAATTGCGATAGCGCTGAGTGTATGTCTCGTGATATTTCAGGTATATGTAATAAAATTGATATCAACCAAACTGACGCCCGCATTTTCATGCTTCCGCTAATTCATTTTCATAATTTTTAGTTATGTTTAATACTCCGCGATCGCAAAAGATTATCTTTCTCAGGTAATTTGTTAATATGCCATATCAGTGCTTCTCTACAAAGATTGACGTATCTCGATTTTCTGTGCCCAGATGACGACGTACCTGTCATACTATGGTGGACGCCATTCGGTAACAATAATCGAGTAAAAACCTGCGAGAACGCCAGATGTTACTTTACACATAATAGAACATTTGAGAATAATGTGAACTTAAAAGTATGAGCCCTTTACATTTCTACTTCTTCTTTCAATCAATTTCTATATCTTGCACACATATTACTGACTTTTATAGAGTATTCTGTTTTACGGAAGTAATCTCCGTATTCATGATTTGCCCAATTGGAGGAGCAGTGCCATATCATGGGGCTTACTTCATGAAGAATCT